CTAGCATAGAGAAGTACTTCAAAAACCTTTTCTCAATGTCTTTAAGGTTTAATGTCTGGTCAAAGACACCAGCTTCTGTGGCTTCTATAATAACTTTCAGGTTGCAGTAGGGTGAGCAAGACTGAAATTCCAGGGGTTGTTCTTGAAGCAAATTGATCCTCCTGTAGGAGGATTAAAACATAAGATTTGCAGAGAATTTCAAGTGACATCAACATCCTTCTTGTCTTTGCTTCAAAGAAGACTTTGTGAGCTGTATTGGTTAGTCTGAGTGGTATTGAAATATTCACTGTAATATTTATTGGTATATTGTATTGGCTACTTTCCTGTTTCAGAATGTTAGCAGTTCAAAATGTGTGTTGTTAATGGAACTAATTACTGAGATGTTATTTTTGTCAGAACAGTCTCCCTTTTTGACCTATATCTTTGGTGTAAGCTTCAGTGTTTTTCGGTACTGACCCAGTCCATGCCCAACAGGTGCATTGAAAAGCCCCCACATTTATAGACTAGGAGTTTTTGTGTTTTGACACTTGTCTTTAGTGCCTATGTCCAGTCAGCTATTTTGAATATTGTGACTTCTAATACACTGACTTTTTGTAGACCTTTTCTTTTGGAAGTTGACCTAGCTCCATTACTGGACTGCTGGATTACATTGGTAGTGGGCTACTTCATGCAATTCTATATTGTACTCCCTCGTGCATTCTTCTTCTGTGAGCTGTCTTTGAGAGGACTGTGGCTTAAGGAAATAGTTCTTATCATACCCTTGGAATTATCTGAAGGAAAACACAAACAGAAATCCAAAGCCCTCAGTGCAAGACAAACTGTATTATTAATCTGCTTGTGTCATTAGAGGAAGGAGGCTTATGTTCTTGTTCCAGACCTGTAAGGAATGAATGCTTTCATCCACCTAAAACCACCTAAAACATAGAATGTACCAGTGTCTGTGATTAGATTGTCAAGTATTGTTTTGACGTTTGCTGTGGGTGCAAGGTATGTTTAACAAAACTAGTTTTAGCTTACAGTGACTGTATACTAACAATAATTACTGAATTCCTTTCAGTGATTACACCAGTAGCTGTTAGAAGCAGCCCCATGAAACAGGTCTCTTTTCTTGACCTGAGAATCATCTGGGAATACACTGGTTAACTTGATTTTATTAATGTTAGCACAGCAAATAATCAGCTCTCTACTGCCAAAAGTCAGGGAGGAATCATATCAAGGGAACAAATTGTCCAACTTGTACATTGTGAACCCTCACATCACAGCATCAGACTTTGTTCTAGACTTTTACTATGCAAGGTAGAAGCATTTTTTTTTAACTATTAATCTAAGCACCACTTGGATAAGCCCATTTTAGGACAACACCCCACGCCCCAAGTAGAGGTTACTCCGTTTGATTTGTAGGGTTGAATTGTCTAAAGTGGACTGCAGGAGCCAATTTACAGTGTATTCAGTAAGAAAAGAACTTAAATCTGTCCCATAGACATTTACCAGAAAATTATGTAAAGTTACAGAGAAACCAGACTCAGTAGGGAAGTATGAGAATGTTGTGAACGTTTAAAAAAGTACGTAATCCCTTAAATCTTTCATTGTTTGCCTAGGGAAATAGGTGATCACTGGCATCTAGCAATTCAAGAAGCAATCTTGGAGAAGTGCAGTGATAATGATGGAATTGTTCATATCGCTGTAGACAAAAATTCACGTGAGGTGAGTCTTTCCAGTAACATCTTAATACTTTGTTCATCCTTTTCAGCTGGACTTGCAAAAAACCCAAATCCCTCTTTCTCTTACTTAGGGCTGTGTATATGTCAAGTGTCTCTCCCCGGAGTATGCTGGAAAGGCTTTCAAGGCATTGCATGGCTCTTGGTTTGATGGTAAGGAATGGGAGTTTTTAACAAAAGTTGGGTAGAAAGATGGGTGCAGCTGGAGTTATTTTAAATGGTGAAATGTTTTGTATCTAAAGTATTGAGCAGTAAAAAAAACCCCAAAAAACAAAAAACCTAATTTTGATGTAATGACATACTTGTGTTTTACATCCCGAAGCAAAATGCAACAATACTGAACTAGAAGGTTTCTCTTTTCCTGTTTCTTTGCCTCATAGGAAAGCTGGTAACAGTAAAATACCTGCGACTAGATCGGTATCATCATCGTTTTCCCCAGGCTCTTACTTGTAACACTCCACTGAAGCCATCAAACAAACACATGAACTCTATGTCACATCTGCGTCTTCGGACAGGCACAACTAATTCTCAGGGAAGTTCCTGAGAAAACTTTCTACAACTGCTAGGACTGTTACTTGCAACAGGAATGTTCCTGTTTGGCCGCCGTCTTCCTTTTTTAGTGCTTTTTGTATGTAATACTTCAAGAATTAAATAAAAGTTTGAACGTTCCAGAAGTCTTGTTTCCAAAGGGACTTAGCAATGAGGCAGTAATACTGAGCTGACAAAAAAGGAAAAACAAGTTGTTTCATGAAGTTTTCTGGGGCTATAGTAAACCGATGCATTTAAGTTTTGCATGAGGAATACCGATTTCATTATACATTTGCAGATGTGGTGACGTATTTTTGCACCAAGAAGTGTTTTTGCTAATACAAAAGCATGGAGAAAAGAAGACTTCCTGTATTTCCATAGTTTCCTGTGAAATAATCTTGTGGGTATTTTGTAACAAGCAACCTACAGTTCCTGATGGTGAATAAGTTAAAAAAAAATTCAGTCAATATTAGTTTTTGTTGCTATATAAGAATCTTTTTCTGCAGCTGGGGTATGGGGAAAGTGAATTTGGCATTAGTGGTTGCATATCAATGTGAGGGAAGATGAACTGATTGCAGATATACTGGGTTTTGTATATAAATGTAAATGCTGGTGGTGGCAAAAAGGGTTGTGTTCTGTGAGGATGTCTGCGTCGAAGCAGCAAATAAGCTTCCTATTTTATTCAAAACCTATTGTTTTATATGGTTTTGGCTGTACCATGACAAGAGGCCAAATACTTAAAAATGTTGGCTACAGGTTAAATATCTTTTATAGGTTTTATATAAAATACCTGACTGATTTTGTGTGAAAGGTCTGATACCAATTGTAATGAATTCAAATTTGTGAGCAATAAAGAAGCAATTGGCAGATACTGGACAAATATTTTGTGAAAAGCTGTATTTATTATTACAAGTGTCAGGGCTGTGACAAAATACCATTGGATTAAACAACATTCCCAGTATATTATAACATGTTTTAATTATCCATTTATATGTTAAAATTTTAAAATTCCTTCCTTGCAACAATTTTGGCTCATGCAAACTAGTGCAGCTGACAGTAAATCTTGTGATTCCAAGCTTGTAAATTTACTAATGTTTACCTAGCAGTTCAAAATTGTTGCTGAGAAGCTTAGTTGCAAATCTAAGATTATTGGCTTTACTAATCCCCACTCCTACAACCAATTTACCTAGTTATCCAGCTGAACATCCTGTAGGAGGTGAGACTGGGAGCACACCAGTCCCACAAATTTTACTGAAACTCACTTTACTTTGTAGATATGATGGATCTGCAGCATGAACTTGCACAAATAATGCACGTTTTTCTTACAGTTAAGTAAACATGATGCACACTATTCTGCAACAGGAAATCCTATTGTGCCTTACCTTTGTGCTTTTGTGGGCACCATGTTTATTATTGGAGAGTTTGTTAACTGAAAAATTTTAAATCCTCGGTTTTATGTCTCAGATGCTAATGAATGAGTATATATAATATATAATCAGCCATGCAGAATTCTACTTACCAAGGACAAGTACATATTTTTGATGGGTAAGTGGATTGTGCCAGGTCTGGTAGATTTTTGATGAGTTTTATTATATACATATATGTATATGTATAATATACATGTATATGTATTATATATATGTATATAAACTAATTTTGTTGTATTTGATGTGCATCATAGTGATTTGTTAACCTGACCTTAGTGACCCCATCTTGTGACCTGTTGCAAGAGTGAATGTAAAAATAGCTGTGGCATTTTAAAAGGTCGCCTCGATGCAAATGCATCTATCTTGCTTCTAAGATATATTTCTTGTAAACACTGTACATTTTAATTGTAATATGTACTATTATGCAGCTTATTTTACCTTAAACTGTTAAGTTGACCGATATCCCTTCCTGCAAGACAGGGGAATATGTATAATATCTGAACATTTGAGAAAAATCAGATGTTTGTTGTAACTTGTTACCCTATCCTGTAAAAACAAACAAAAAACCAAACCAGACTCGAATTAAAGGTTTATTAGGGGTTTTTATATGTGTCTCACCTTCTAGATATTTGGGTGTCTCTGACTCAAATGCTTTTCTTACCTGGGGCGGAGGGGGAGATAGATTTGTTACAGCCTCGTAACTAATTTTTAGTATTTGTTAGGATGTGAAGGTGCTGCCATGAGCTGACACAGACAGCTGAGTTTCACTTAACTGTCAGCTTGACTTTTGTCCTGATTTTGTACACAGGGAGCGCAGAGACATTACCTTGCCTCCTAAGTCACGGGCATGCCATGTTGTCTCTTCCCTGTTAAAGGACAGGGGTGAAAAGCTTTAACCTTGTGCTTTCAGCCTCTTTCTTGTATTTTGAGGTAGAAAGAGTCGTGAAAGAGATTTTGGTAGAGAAGAGGTTGGCTTTTTTTCCTGTCATTATCTTACGCTATTTGAGAATTGTTTTGGTGACAGGTTGAAGGTTTGGGGGGTAGGAGGAACAAAGAAGAGTAATTCCGTTATTTATATTCATTTGTCCCGTGTACATGTACGTGTCCCCTGAGGACGGGGAGCAGGAGGCGGAGGAAGTTGGGGTCGTTCAGTTCCCTCCTTTCTGGACGCTGGGCAGGGTGGGCACTGAGCGCTGGGGTAGTTTCGGGGCCGGCGCTGAGGTGAGGAGCTGCCTGCGGCCGGAGCCGCTGCGGCGCTGGCAGCGCTGTTGGCGCTCCCGGCCGGCGCCGCGCCGGCAGCTGAGGGTCACGGCAGCGCCGGCTCCTCTCGGCCGGGGCTCCTGGAGCTGCAGGAGCGTCTCTTTAAAGGGGCGAGGAGCCGCTTCGCCGGCCTGCCCGAAGCGCACCCTTTAGGACAGGGCTCTTCGTTCGTGCCGCGGCGGCGGGACGGGGCAGGGTCCCGGCCGCGGGTCGTGCCGGGCGTGCGGCGGGAGTCTCCCGGCTCCATGTTCATATTTGGCGTTGGCCGCCGGTGCCCAGGAATTTCCCGTCATGCTCCCCGGGCGGCGGGCCCGTCACTGCGCTCCCGCGGGGCGGGGGGGCCGGGGCCGCTCGCTCGCTCCCTCGGGCCGCTCCCATGCGCGCTGCGCCGCCGCCGCTGCTCCCCGCGCTCTGCCTGGCGCTGGCGGCCGCCGCAGGAGCCGCCGGGCCGGGCCGCACCTGCCGAGGCTGCGGCCGGAGCGGAGGGGAGCGGGTCGGTGCTGAGGGGGACCCCGGGGCCCCGCTGCGGCCGAGGGGGGCTGGGGTCGGGAGTCGCTCGGGTCGGTCCCCGTGTCATGGAGCGAACCCCTGACAGCGCTCGTCACCCCCGCATCCCGGCCGCATCCCGGCCGTGCCGTTCCCGTGGCCGCCGCAGCGCCTGGACCCCGGCGCGGCCCCGGGCTCCGGGCGTGCTGCGCGGCAGCTGGAGCTCCCGGCTCAGACGGGTGCACAGCGGAATAGCTGGCTCGGGAAAGCAGCGCTTGACCAAGTGCGGAATGGGTTCAGTTCAGCCGCGACCCCCGGCTCGGTAAATTGTGCAGCGCTAGGTCAAAAAAGGAGCTTAAACTTCACAAATGAGCTGAGAATTTGGTTGTGTTTTTCTGGGGAAGCTCAGTGCGTTCGCTGACTGGGTTTGTTTGGTGTTACTCTTCTGACAGATACAATCGATGCCGAGGATAAAGTATAATTTATTTCTTATGGCCCCCTTCCCAAGTTGATGTAGCTGTACTTGGTTCATCGTAATATTCCTGGAAACAGAAATGAGACTTAATTAAGTTTCCTGGAGTATTTGACAAATTAGCTATAAATGTTGTCTTTCCTGCTTGAGCTGAATTTTCAGTCATCGCCCTCTTCGCTCAAAGACTGTCTGAAGGCACAGTGATCTCAAACAAGCATAGCTGTGCATTAAAAATGCCAAATCTAACAGTAGTTATCTACAGATAAGGCCGAATGTCAACTGTTAGCTAGTGATAAATGCTGTAAGGTAGTCTCTGTAAGTGGTCTGACCCTAAACACATCATTTGGGAAAATATAGAGCCTAACATTATATATGTCATGCTTTTAGTCTTTCTCTGTTGTTGCTATTAAAACTGTTCTGAAGATAGAAGTCAGAATGAGAAACCTGCAGTAGCCAGATACTTTGCCTTACTGATATGGCTTGCTTATGGCCAGTCACCTGTAAATGGAACAGAGATCTCCACTCCCACTGTATCACAATGCCACTCATTTGAATCCAGAATTTAATGCTTAGAATTCGTCCTGCTTACGTTCTTGGCCTTGCTGAGTAGACACAAGTGCTTTCTGTCTTATTTGCTGATGATTCCCAACTTTTTGTTACGTTGCTGCGTGCCTTTGCAGTTCGTCATGATTCCTTGTCTGCCAAATTTGGTTGGTAACAGTGCCCTTTGAGTCTGATTCTGGGAGTAGTTTCCATGTGGCTTGTCATCTTAATCAGACGTTTGCTCATAGCTTCTAAAAGAATCTCCTGCCTCATTTTAGACATGGCTTATTTTAGAACAGTATTTTTCAACTGTCTTTTAAAATTTATGTAGGGAGTTAACTATGGTTAGCAACTTAACCAGAGTTACTAAACAATCCTAGAATTCCAAGATTAAAAAAAAAAAGGATTTAAAATAAAGTTCTGCATTGCTTTGTTAGAACCGGTATAATTAGTGGAATTTAACCAAATATAGTTCAGTCCAGAATGTGGTTGGTCAGTCCTTTTCCCATATGATGTACCTTGGATCTTAATAATACACATTTGGAATTATCTTTTGGGGGGAAAATAATCCTAGAATTCCAAGATAAAAAAAAAAGGATTAAAAAAAAAAAAAAGTTCTGCATTGCTTTGTTAGAACCAGTAAAATTAGTGGAATTTAACCAAATATAGTTCAGTCCAGAATGTGGTTGGTCAGTCCTTTTCCCATATGATGTACCTTGGATCTTAATAATACACATTTGGAATTATCTTTTGGGGGGAAAAAAACAATCTAATTTTCTTCCAAAAGCACAATCTTTAAAAATAGTGCCTTTGTAGATGGGGTAATGTTTCTATATTTGGTAGCAAAGCCATATAAAGTAGTTTATCCTAGACAAAAATAAAGTCTTTTGACTGAATGACCTTGCTCATTTTTCCAAGTGGTAGCAGTTACATGCTCTCACAGGGGTTAGTTAATTTAGATGTTTATATCAGTACATGCTGTAAGAATTTGTTATTTTTTGTTTGTACATACCATATTAATTCCTTACAGCTGTTTGGTAAGGGCCAGCTTGCACGTCAGGGAAGTATTTGGTCCTTTGCCCTGTTATTTATGAAGGTATGGGAGGATCTTGTTTACCTACTCATGTTTTGTCAGCTTTGTAAGCTGATACTTGTTTCTGTATCATTGGAGATCCAGCCTATTTATTACATTGGAAATGCTAGAAAACATAATTTCTCTATTAGGTAGATTATTAATGGTTCTTCTGTTATTTATTTTAAAAGATGGGGTAATAAGAGTCAGTAGGGGGAGAGAAGAAAACACACTGTTAAGGATTTAATCTTCTCAGACAGAAGGTTAAGAAGTCTGCCTGTCTGCATCTGACTGGCATTGCTGCAAGCCAGCAATGCAGTAAAGCCATCCAATTTGGAGATAGCTTTGTTGAGCTGCATAATTCAAGTGAGTGTGTCCTCATTACAGAGCAACTCTTGAGCTACACGCAGCATTATGTTAGTCATAGGTAGGGAAAATGACCTTATTTTCCCCTTTCTATTATTTTTCTTTCTCATTGAAAGCTGCAGTTTGGGGAGCACCTAGGCTATGTATGAACTTAAGCTATGGAGGCTTTAACTGATAGGAAAGTGGGATAAACATTGGCCTAATTATAGCTGGGTCTAGCTCTAGTGTAAGGGTTCCTTAGCCAAAAGACCCCCACATGGACCCTCAAATTTCTGGTGTGTTTATGACATTATAATTAGGAAATACTGTCAAATAAAGTCAGGTGTGGATTTCTCTTTTCCTGAGTAACTCTGAAGCTGGTATGCTTACTTTGGAACAAACTACAAGGCTAGGCAGAAATAGGGTGTTTCTTGCTCGGGAGTAATCATGTCCATACACGGAGTTATTTCAAGGTTACTTTCTCCACACAAAACAGGGGTCTTTTAAACAGAACAACAAAAAAACCTGAGAGCTTTTAGGGCTTTTTTTTTGGTGTGTATGTGTCTCATAGAGTAAGTAGCTACAGGCTAACTTTCCATTCCCTTACTCACCTTGCTTTGGTAGGATTTACTGTTACCTTTTCAGAGGCTTCATTTCCCTCAGAAGGATCTTTAGTTCTCAGTGAGCAATTAATATGTACTAGCTTAAAAAAAAAGCACAAACCCAAAGATTTAAGTCCTTCTCTGTGGTATTTTGTGAATGTATAACCAGCTCTCAGTGTTTTTAAGTAATTTTCAACTAACCACTTAAGAAAAGGAAGGAAACACATACTGCATTATTAATTTCTACCAGAAGTTGAAGAATGTCATTGTGTATTTTAACAGGGATTTTTGTGTCTTTAGTCTGTGAAGATGCTGATCTGTATTTTTTGCAGGAAAATAGGGTAGAAGAATTCTTTGGGAACCCCATTTATGGTGAAGTAATTGGATATTATAATTTATCTGCTTAGCTCTAGCCTTCTGGTTCTCATTTAGCAACCTCAATTCAGCATTATCTGAAAACCACACAATCTAGCAACTGGAACTGGGAATAAAGAGGATTTTTGCAATAAGGACTTTAAGATCTGAGGAATTGAACTATACTTGCACAAAACAGGCAAGAACAATACTTACACTTATAAGGTGCTAAAACAGTTTTGCTGTCCTCACAGACTTAAATTATAGTTTAGCATTGTTTTGTAAAATAATTAATAGCATAAATACTTCTTTATTTCCAGAAAGTTTTTGATTTAAACATGATTCAGCTTTTGGGTCTTACACAGACAAAGTCTAAGGACAGGACTTCTGCAGAGGTCCCTAGTTTGCTTTTTCCTTTCGGTAGCATCTGAACATCGGGATTGATGATTTCTTTGAACTGTGGACAGCAGCTTAGCAAAATGCACATAGTGTGCTAACACATTGTTTTGTTGGGAAGTGTTACCTCATCCAAGAAATTTAAAGAGTAATGTCATGCATGGCATTTGGAAGTATTTCCCCACGGGTCTCTTTAGCTCTGTGTTTTTCCAAAAGGGGACAACGCCTTTGCATTTCACCTGATGGAAAACAAATCCCTACCACCAGGGAACAACAATAGTGCTGATGGAATGTAGCTGCCAAATGCCACTTTCACTCTCACCACACAATGAAAATGGAAAAAAAAATTCAACACATGGAACCTTAGCAGCTTCCTGGGGAAGTGATCCATGCCAGTTGTTGCCAAAAGGAAACAGCCCACAAAGCGTTCCTTCTGGCTGAGGGATTGCCCTGTTCTTGTTCCTCTCCATTCTCCAGTGTGTGGTTCTCAGGGAAATCTGCGGGCGAGGCTGTTCCAATGCCTGCACAGAGAGTGTAGGTGATTTTAACAACTTCTAGGACCTTCAAGGTGGGTTGGTGGGTGGGAGCCACATGGATGTGTGGAACTCTTTCAGTTCGTGCAGCACAGTGAGTTTGGCCTTGGCTTTCCTGCAGCCGGTTCAAGAGCAAGCATTGGCTTGATATAAAGTTGCTCAGTTCGCCAAGAAAAATGGTTGAATATACAAGCAGGCAGGCTTTGTCACCTGGGTCAGATTGTCACCATCATGCTGCTGGGAGGAAGCTTGATATTCAACATAAAACCAATGCAGATCCACCCTAATGTGTCCTGATGATGAAAAGTCAGAGCTTACACTCTAGTTCAAGTTGAATTTGGGTGATTCAGCAGTGCACTGATCCAATCTTCACAATGCTGCAACCAAGGCTTGCAGGTCAGATTGGCTGGGCTTCCACTCCTGCACACCAACAGCACTGTCAGTAGCCATAGCACAAGTGAGGGAGAGAAATGGGAATAAGACAGGAGCAGATGCTTTGGCTACCAGCTCAGGGACAGGTGGAAAACTAGAGGTGAATCAGTCAACTGTGTGAAGTTACAGCCCGGAGATGCAAATTCAGGAGCTCTGCAAATAAAATAATTTGAGTTTTCTATAGCATTATAATCTCTGCTTTTGAATG